TATAACTCTCCAAAAAGATCCAAAATAGGTCGCATTCATAGATAGTGTCAGTGGAGAAAGGAAAAAACTAACAAGGATTTCATTGAATTATAAATAACTGGCTGTTCAATTCAGGTCTTCTTCTGATTCGACCGTGCTACAGAAATGAAATTGAGGATAGTACATAATTCGTGAACCACAATTAACAACATGATAAGTAGATATGCGGAGTGGAACATTGCATCACATGTCTGCGTTTATACTAACACCACTCACTCTATTTGTGGTGGTGAATAAAGGTATCGTTTTTTTTTTAAGATAACGATAAGATTATATTATAAAAAATTAACAGTAGTTGCGACATCATTGAAAATATAAGATAAGCATGTATAATCTATCCTTCAAATTCAAAACCCTTTACTTTTAACCCTGTTCCACTGGAATAATTAAACGAATTAAAGGGTATGATTGGAATAATCAATTTTGGATGCTGTTTTTGCTTTTGAAGACGTTCAGAGTATAGCCAAAAAGATCTGTTAGTGACGTGGATGCCACCATTTTGTGGGCAGAGCACTTAATTTTATCTTCTCGGGCTTTCTCTATCTTCAAGGTTAATTACAAGATAATGGGAGGTGGTCCCTTATGTGCTTTTGTAAATAAATTAAGTGGTAGGTTACGTTTACAAATTTTTTAGTTTACAAATCATACTATATTCTTCTGAGAGAATATTGGTTATACTATGTTTTCCCGGGAGAACATAGTGTAATTTGTAAAAAAATTTTAAAAAACTTTGTAACTGAATCCTTAACAGAAGTTGCTGTAATTCGCAGCTTAATGATATATCAAATTGGGTCTATTATATAGACCAAGATTTACAATTGGTTACATCAGGAAATCAGCTAAACTTAAGGAACAGAAAGCATAAATCAAGCTAATCTATTTACATCAGGAAATCAGCTAAACTTAAGGAACAGAAAGCATAAATCAAGCTAATCTATTTACATCAGGAAATCAGCTAAAACTAAGGAACAGAAAGCATAAATCAAGCTAATCTATTTTAATATACAAGGTAACAAACCGTGATAGTTACAATCAGGATCCTAACAAATTAATGCTACTCTAATACTCCCCCTCAAGGTGGAGCATGGAGGGAGGAGATGCCCAACTTGGAAGTCAAAAAATCGAATTGTTTGGATCCAAGTGCTTTGGTCATAATATCTGCGGGTTGAGAACTAGTGGGGATATGTTGAGTAGAAATAGTCTTGCTGAGAAGATAGTCCCGAACAAAATGGCAATCTAACTCGATATGCTTGGTACGCTCATGGAACACTGGATTAGAAGCAATATGAATAGCAGACTGACTGTCACAAAACAGTTGCATAGGGGCTGCATGAGGAATATCAAGAGAGCTGAGAAAAGACTTTAACCAAATAAGCTCAGAAGTCGCAGCTGCCATGGCACGGTATTCAGCTTCAGCAGAGGAGCGGGATATTGTGTTTTGCTTCTTGGTTTTCCAAGAAATAGGAGAATGTCCAAGAGTAACAAAATAACCAGTGACTGATTTTCGAGTCAAGGGACAACTAGCCCAATCCGAATCACAATAGGCACGAAGAAGAAGATCACTGTCAGATCGAAGAAGGAGTCCTTGGCCAGGATTGGACTTAATGTACCGAAGAACACGAATAGCCGCATCGTAATGTATCTGCATAGGATGCTGCAAAAACTGAGAAAGTGTGTGAACTGCATAACTAAGTTCTGGTCGTGTAATCGTGAGATATACAAGACGGCCAACAATACGTCTATAACGTTTAGGATCATCAAACGGAGGTCCTTCAGCAAGAGCAAGCTTGTGATTGGGATCCATAGGATAAGCAACCGGTTTACAACTTTGAAGTCCACATTCCTTAAGAATATCCAAAGCAAATTTGCGTTGAGTAAGAAACAAACCGGTCTTGCTTCGAGCAAATTCAATGCCAAGAAAATACTTGAGGGGACCAAGATCTTTGATTTTAAACCAGGTTTGTAAATGAGCTTTGACACGGTCACAGAGAGAAGGATCACTACCTGCCAACAAAATATCATCTACATAGACAAGTATAGCAACATAATGGGAACCAGTCGAGTAAGTGAACAACGTATAATCAGCACGAGACTGAACAAAGCCGAAACTGAGGAGAGAACTACGAAGCTTAGCAAACCAATTTCGTGGGGATTGCTTGAGACCATAAAGTGAACGTTGAAGCTTACAGGCGTGACCAGACTTGGTTTGGGAGAAACCGGGAGGAAAACGCATAAAGACTTCTTCATCCAAATCGCCATGGAGAAAGGCATTTTGAACATCCAGCTGAAAAATGCTCCATTTTCGAGCTACAGCTACAGATAAAAATGTACGCACACTTGTCATTTTAGCCACCGGTGCAAAAGTCTCAGTGTAATCTTCTCCTTCGATCTGATTGTTCCCAGCAATAACCAGACGCGCTTTATAGCGTTCAATGGTTCCATCAGAATTGTACTTGATGCGGTACACCCACTTACATGGAATAGCTTTCTTACCAGAAGGGAGAGGTTGAATTTGCCAAGTATGATTGGCTTCCAATGCATCAATTTCGGCTTGCATGGCTTTCTGCCAATGAGGATATTGCATAGCCTCTTTAAATGATTTGGGTTCCAGGTTACTATCCACGGCGGCAAGAAAAATCTGATGGTGCGAAGAAAATAATGCATTAGAAACATAATGATCAATGGAATATTGAATACCTGAGTCGATTGGAGAAGTGGAGAGACGAGGAAAGGGTGTAGTCATTGTGTTGCATACATAATCCTTTAAATGAGATGGGGGACGTCTGGCACGCTGTTCACGAATATCTGCCACAGATGCAGTGTTGGGTTCTGTCAACGGAACCGGTGAACCAGGGACATCCGTGGATGAAGTAATAGAACCCGGAACTGGGGAGGACGAACTCCCCCTGTCATCAAGCTCCGCTGTGGGAGTATCAATAGCAGTAACAGGTGCCACATCATAATCGGTGAAGACAGCTTGTGGTGACGGTACATGGACAGAAGGTGCAGATGAAGTTGCAGCCAATGGAAAAATAGTTTCATGAAATAAAACATCACGAGAAACAAATATTTCATGAGTGGAGATATCCATGACCTTCCATCCTTTTTTGTTGAAAGGGTAGCCAACAAACACACACTTACGGGAGCGAGGAGCGAACTTGTCATGTGGTTTGGGTAAAACAGTAGTGTAACATAAACTCCCAAAGACCCGTAAGTGATCATACTTTGGTGGAGTGCCATGCAAAACTTCATAGGGACACTGACCACCAAGGAGTGGAGTCGGTGTCCTGTTGATGAGGTGAGCAGCGGTCAAGATGCATTCTCCCCAAAGAGATATAGGTAAGTGACCATCAAAACGCAAAGCACGAGCCACGTTGAGGATGTGACGATGACGACGTTCAACGCGTCCATTTTGCTGTGGGGTGTAAGTGCATGATAATTGATGATGAATACCGTAGGATGAGAGAGCCTCTTGGACTACAGATGACAAAAATTCAGTCCCATTATCACTCTGAATTCGCTTAACAGATGCATCATATTGGGTGCGAACCAAGTGGAGAAACCGAAGTAAACATGTGGAAGTTTCAGTTTTATTGCGCATCAAAAAAATCCAAACATGTCTACTAAAATCATCGACTACAGTTAAAAAATAGCGGGCACCAGTTGTAGATGCCATATGATATGGCCCCCATATATCACAGTGAAGTAAATCAAAAGGATGTAAACAACGTTTATTATTAATAGGAAAAGGACTTCGTGGTTGTTTGGCTTTACAACAAACGTCACAAGGAGCCAAATTGTTTGCATTGGAAATAAAAGGTAACAAAGATAAATAACGGGAAGATGGATGTCCTAGACGACGATGCCATAGTGCTGCAGAATCTGACGTACTGGCAACATGAGCAGAAGCTGATGATGCACACAATATATACACCCCTTCTCGTTCAACACCCGTTCCAATCGTCCTCTTCTGCTTTAGGTCCTGTATCAAACAAACAGAATTAACAAACAATGCCAAGCAAGACTGGCGCAGAAGCTGAGATACAGAAATCAAATTACAAGCCAACGAAGGGACATAAAGAACATTGGAGAGATGAAGAGAAGAGCCCAAAGTAATGCTGCCACATTGCGTAGCAATATCATGAACTCCATTCGGCAGTCCCACAGAACAAGGAGAAATAGAATGCACATTGGATAGATAGGAGAGTGTGCCCGTCATGTGTTGGGATGCACCACTGTCGATGATCCAAGATGGGTGTAATATCTTACCCGTAAGTTTATCAACTGGAGGGGCAGAAGAGACAGCCAAGGACATGAGATGTTGTAGAACTTCTGGTGTAAAATCTGCCATGGAGATGGATGCTGATGACGGCTCAGAAGGAACCGAAGGCAGAGAAGTATGAGCAGCCCAATTTTCATAATTGGATTGTCCACGGAGGATGACCGTGGTGAGAACAGCACCAGGATTGTCGGATGGGTGCAGGTAAAAGGGTGACTTAGAATCAGAAACCTTGAAGGTTTTAGGTGCGGAAGTCATGATGAAAAAAAAAAAAAAAAAAATGAAGGCTTGTTGATCGTCAAGCTCTTGATACCATAACAGAAGTTGCTGTCATTCGCAGCTTGATGATATATCAAATTGGGTCTATTATATAGACCAAGATTTACAATTGGTTACATCAGGAAATCAGCTAAACTTAAGGAACAGAAAGCATAAATCAAGCTAATCTATTTACATCAGGAAATCAGCTAAACTTAAGGAACAGAAAGCATAAATCAAGCTAATCTATTTACATCAGGAAATCAGCTAAACTTAAGGAACAGAAAGCATAAATCAAGCTAATCTATTTACATCAGGAAATCAGCTAAAACTAAGGAACAGAAAGCATAAATCAAGCTAATCTATTTTAATATACAAGGTAACAAACCGTGATAGTTACAATCAGGATCCTAACAAATTAATGCTACTCTAATAATTTTGAGTAATTAACCCAAAAAACATAAGGTAAACCACACTTCAGAAACAAGACAGAAAAAGAAAAAGAAAAATAAACCGAACAAAATGAAAGAATACCAACCACTATTCATATGCTTAGCATTATCAAAACCTGCATCACCTTGTTCTTCTTTTGGGTTGGTTTTCATCTTCTTACGAGTTTGAGATGATGGTGATGGAGTTTTTTCCCTTTTACCCTCAAATGGTGAACAATTCTCAAGAATTTTCAAAGAATAATCACTCTCATTAACCTCTTCACTTTTTTCATCAGCAACTCTAGAAGGGTATTTTATTTCTAAAGCACTCTTATCAAATATAATCACATTAAAGTAAGAATTTTCTTCATAACGAAACACCACAAACTGTGACACATCCAAAGACAAGTATTGTGCAAATTCTTTCCAACCATTGCGAAACCAAACATCACCGTCACGTTTCATCCAATAAACTTTCCATTCAGTACTATTTGGAAGCCTTAGACAAACAGGGTTTGATATTCCTTGCCAATGTCTCCTCACAAAACTTCTTGGTACTCTCTGTCACACAGTTCTTGTCAATTAGCATGCATTCAGTATTAAATAATAAATCAAAAAATTTAAACATGATTAATACATAGGTTTATTTAATTTGGTGTAATCATAAAACTGTGACTAAAATATTGAAATAGATTTGTATGAAGAACTCATAAACTAAATTTTTTACAGATTTACTATAGAGTTCTAAAAATCATCAATAAAAATTTGCCATCGATATTTACTTAGAGACAAAAAGAAAAAAAGAAACAAAAGTAGAAAGTAAAATATGTTGTTACCAGCTCTCCATCTCGGATGTTGCTTTCAAGAATAATCTTGAAAAAATGGACGCCATAACCGTGATGATCACATCCTTGAGAAGACATCGTTCCAATGATTAAAGCCAAATGCAGTGCTTCAAAGTTGATAATTCAAAAACATGGGCGCTGTGCAGTTTTTCAGTGTAAAAGAAAGGCGTGATTAAAATGAAAAAACCAAAGCGTTTATGAGTATATGATTGCTATCAAAATGTTTAATTACACACCAAATGAGGGGTCAATTATAGACTCCCACGATTTCAAGCCTCGATTACCTAAACGTCACTGAGGATTATGAATTAATGAGTTAAGATACTTTGTTTTAATCAACTTAATTTAAAGTCTATTTGCCTGGTAAGCTTTACAAAAAATTCTTCATTATAATTGTTGGTCTTTACACCTAGGTCGTTTCTATACGAGTATAAAATAATTCAAGACATTATGATTTGAAGCTTAAGAGATAATGCAATGATTCCTCTGGAAGTCCCATTTTGTATACGAGGTAGAGTTATTGGAAAAAAAATATATTGTAGACAAATGCCGAGTTAAGTAAGATCGAGTAACAAAAACATCCTTTATAAGAAAATTGTATATAATTTTTTAAAATGGATTTCTAAATTATTTTTTAATTTATTTATGCAATAGTTCTTATTTTAAATTATTAAAATGAATTTAAATAAACAATGTATCTTTCTACATCCTTAACCATTCTAAGGTCTAGTTTAGAAGTTTCGAAATCAGGGTAATGCCAATTTCTAATCCTCGGCTATACTACTACACCTGCTCTGTCTTCAAATGTGTGGTAATAATAGCAATACAAAAGAAGAAGTACAGCGCACCAATTCTTTTCTGGATTGGGCTACAATCTGAGCAAGAATCCATGGAGTAAACAAAGGGGGAACAATTAATGAGTTAAATTCCTTTTTAGTTTGATTTAATTTAGAAGCATAATCTGTTTCGATTCCCTTTTTGACTATTAATGGAAATTAAAGTGAATTAATTAGAGAAGAAAACGAATCGAGTAACTTAATTCAAATTTTATTTTTCCCATTTTTTATCCAATCATGGAAATTAATCAAAACGTGATTTGAAGAGAATTAAAAGAGTCGTCTCACAAGACCAATGATCTTAATAAGCAAGATTAGAAATCACTAGAGTTAACCTAAAACCATTCTTATTGGAAGACTGATGATGGGCGCGTAGAGTCACGCGCGCGATCTTTTTCTCTCTGGTAGGGTTTGGTGGTTCCTGGTAAATTTTTTGCGATCGTTCTTTGTTTCGGTGTTATGGAGGATGAAAAGCTACGAGGTGGCCCTCTGGATGTTGATGGAGGGAAGGGAGGAGGAAGGGGTAGGCTGACGGATGAAGAGGAATTGCTCCTCAGGATTGGTAAGAAATCGAAGGGTGAAGTAGTGGAGGATCTGAGCATGGATGATCAGATGGTGGAGAATGGTGAGGAAGGAGTGGATTTAGCTCCCAAGGAGGTCAGGCGGCCTGAGATGAAGGAGGTGAAACAGTTCAACGGTTCACGCTGTAAGATGGTGTCGTATAAGGACAAACTCCTGAAGCTGAACGGTGGGGAAGCTTCAGACAGTGAGGAAGAGGACTGGTTGACAAGGCAGAAGAGGGAGGAGGAAAAAGAAGATCTAATGGAGGAGATCCCCCAGGTGTCTTTGGAAGACCCGCTATGCCCGATCTACCACATATCCAAAGCCCAACATAAGGAGGACTGCAAACAGTGGCGCAAGGCACTGATTATCAAACTGCTAGGTAAGCGCATGGCAACCAGATTTCTGATGGAAAGGCTCCAAAGACAATGGAATCTGGTCAGTTCCTTTGAATTAATTGATTTAGACAATGGATTTCTTCTGCTGCGGTTTCAAGATGATATTGACTATAGACATGTCCTGGAGGAGGGTCCATGGATTGTGAATGACCACTATGTGGTAGTCCAAAGATGGAGGCCTTTTTTCGATCCATATGATGATCAAGTGAAGAAGATGCCTGTGTGGATCAGGATCCCTGGGCTGCCTATTGAGCTGTATACAGCTCACCATCTTTGGAAGATTGGGAATATTTTTGGAAGAACTCTCAAGGTGGATAGGAATTCCCTTCGTAAGAGTGACTCAGGTCTTGAAGTTATCACAAAAAGAGCACGATTTGCTCGGATATGTGTGGAGGTAGATCTAAGGAGGAGCTTTCTTTCCAAGTTTCAAATAGCGGACAGAACTTACCAGGTAGGCTATGAAGGCATACACTTAATTTGCTTCAAATGTGGGGTCTATGGGCACAGAAAAGACCAATGCCATTCAATAAACCAACATGCGGATCAGGTGGGAGTTGGGGGAAAAGACTCTGCTGTAAAGAATAACAATACCAATGGAGCTATTAAAAAGGACATGAGTTCTAGTGAGGCTTTTGGTGATTGGATGGTTATCCAAAGACAAGTTAGGGGCAGGAAATTGAAGGCAGTTCCAGCTAAGGTCATTTCTGATGTCAAAGGGGAAGGGAGTTCAGTAGGTGATAAAGTAAATAAATCCACAGAGAAGTTATCTACAGGAGGAGGGGATACTGTTGTTACTCAGATGGAGATTAAGCAGAATTGTGTAACTGCTTCGAAGCCAGTATCTATGGAGATGGAGAATAAGGAAGGGGGAAGCACACAGAAGCCCTCGGTGGAAATGACTGAGCCTAATGTCTTAGGCAGTCAGAGAAGAGCGAAGGGAGCAGAAATTAAAGCTAGGAAAATTCTTCCTAGGGAGGGTAAGGACAAAAACAGGACCCCTGCTAGTCCTGTGCAGAAAAAAGGAATTGAAAATAAACCTCCAAACCCTGTTCTAGATGGCTCTTGCAAACCTGCAAGTAGGTTGAAGGAGAGTGGGAAACTTATCTCTGGGGTTAAAGACAGAGCTGAGGAAATGTCTAACCAGGAGGGGAAAAAAGGGAACGGAGCTAGAGCTGGTGAGCAACCTAGTTCTTCCAATCAAGCTCAAGCTGAGCAGGGGATTGAGGTATCTACTCCAATTTTTGGAGTCTCCAAAACTTAATTTTCTCAGTTTGTGTTGTTAAGGATTCTAATCCTTTCTTATACATTAGTTTCTTTATGTCTGTGTGCATTTGGAATTGTAGACGGGTTGGCAAAAAGGGTTTTGCTAATCTTATTAGGGATTGAAATCTCGTTTCAGAATTGATATTATGGTGCTTTTAGAAACTAGAGCTAATGGCTCGAAGGGGGATGGGATTATTAAGCAATTTGACTTTTCTAGATTTTTTAAACAGGAGGCTGTTGGATACTCAGGGGGAATCTGGGTCCTTTGGGAGGATAATGTAGTTCAGCTGGATATTCTGGTAGCTCATCATCAGTTTGTGCATACTAGAGTAACTCACTTGGAGAATTTGAGAACAGAAGTCATTACCTTTGTGTATGGTAGCCCTAGAAGACTAGAAAGGAGGACATTGTGGACTGAAATGAAGTCTATCATTCAATCCACTCAGGAGGCCTGGCTTTTGCTTGGTGATTTTAATTCTGTTCTTCATGCTTCTGAGAAGACTGGGGGTAATGAGGTGTGCTGGGAGAGCATTTCTGACATGCAGGATTGTCTTATAAGCTGCAAAGTTAATGACATTGGGTTTAAGGATCCTGAATTTACTTGGAAGAGAGGAAATCTTCATGAGAGAATTGATAGAGCTTGCTCCAACAAAGCTTGGAATCTTCAGTGGCCTAATCGAGTTATTTCTCATCTACCTTTCTTCAACTCTTACCATAGGCCTTTATTTCTGGCCCAAAGTGGCACTGCTAGGCCCAAGGAAAATACCAGAACTTCCAAGTTTATGGCTGCTTGGCTTACTGAACATGACTTTCGGAGACTGGTGGAAAATAACTGGCTCAAGAATAAAGAGTGGGTGCATGCTAGGAATGATTTTGAGAAGGAAGCTAAAATCTGGCATCAAAATGTTTTTAGAAGAAACATTCAGCATAAGATCAAAATCTATGCTAGGCTGAGGTATCTGGACAGCTACATGCATGGTAGGTTTGATCATAACCTGGAGCTGCTGCAGAAAAACTTATGGAAAGAGCTGCAGGATATTCTTGTCAAAGAGGAATTAACCTGGTTCCAAAGGGCTAGATGTAACTGGCTGAAAAATGGTGACAAAAACACTAGGTTCTTCCACTCTTCAACAGTGATAAGAAGAAGACACAATAAGATTTTAGCTCTTAAGGATGACAAGGGCAACTGGGTTGCTGACCCTGATACTTTGGTCCACATGGCTGTGAGTTATTACCAGAACTTGTTCAAGGCTGATAGACCTGATGATGGTTTATTTCCCATCCAGGGTATGTTCCCTAGACTGTCTGAGAATGAAAGGAATCAATTAGGCCTGACTCCTAACAGAGAGGAAATAAGGAGGATTGTGTTCAAGATGGGGAAATTTAAAGCTCCTGGTCCGGATGGCTTACATGCAATATTCCTTCAAAGTCAATGGAGTGTTGTTGGTGAGTCTGTTTGTAATTTGGTTCAGACTTGTTTCCAAACACCTGAAAAGGTCAAGGAGGTTAATAATACATATATCTGTTTGATCCCCAAGAGAAAGAGTCCTGAAAGCATGAAGGATTTCAGACCTATCAATCTTTGTAATGTAGTCTATAAGATCATTACAAAGATTGTGTCTGATAGATTGAGAGGCCTTATGCCTAAATTAATTTCTCCCAATCAAAGTAGCTTTATTCATGGGAGACAAAGTGTTGACAACATAGTGGTAGCTCAAGAAGTGATTCACTCTATGAGAAACAGGAGAGGTAGGAAGGGTTGGATGATGATAAAAGTGGACCATGAGAAAGCATATGATAGGCTTAGTTGGAGCTTTGTGAGGGAGACAGTTAAGGATCTTGGATTTCCAAGATCTCTTTGTGACCTGATCTTTAGTTGTATCTCTTCCACCACCTTTAATCTGCTATGGAATGGAGTTTCTACTAAGGGAATTATCCCAGAAAGAGGGATAAGACAGGGGGATCCTCTATCCCCTTATTTGTTTGTTTTTTGTACGGAGAGACTTGCACAGCTTATTCA